TGGCCAGGATGGTCTTAATCTCCTGTGCTCATGATCTGCCTGCCTTGGCCTCCCAAAGTGCTGAGATTACAGGTGTGAGCCACCATGCCCAGCCCTAAATGCTTAAATTTTTTATGAGACATAACTGGGCCATCAGTAACCGCTAAAGACTATCTCCCCTGTACGCTCCAGTGAAAAAGGTGGACCTTGCCCAGCAGCTCACAAAGCTGATTTTGAGGTAGCCTGAATCCTAACAAGGAAGAAACTATTGTAGCAGTGAATTCCCGAACTAGGACTGGAACCATCCCTTCAACTGTAACCCTCTAGAGCAACAGAAATATAATGCAAGTCACATATGTGATTTTAAATTTCCTTGTAGCAGCATTTTGTAAAGTTTTTCAAAATAAAAAACTTTAAAGTTAAGAGAAACAAGTAAAAGTAAAAAACGTTAAAGAGAAACAAGTGAAACAAGTGAAATTAATAATTTTTTAGTTTTAATATTATATAACCGCATATATCTAAAATATTATCATTTCACAATGTAGCAACAGCCACATTTCAGGTGCTCAATAGCTACACGTAGATATTACAGCTCTAGAGCCAAATATATTTTAAGCAAACCACGGTATATCATGAACAAAAGCCAACTTTTCTGAATTATTTCACTGCAACCACCCTGTAAAGTCAAGAGAGAATCACAGAAGTGTGTTTATGCCTTCATCCACATATGGCTAAGTCTAGATGGTCTAGACAATCCTCCAGGGCTTGGCACAACTAATCCAGTAGACTCAGGGATTTCCTTCCGGAAAGGACACCTGCCTTGTCTGACTCCACTTTCACTTCTCTCCTCTGACTGCCCCCGCTGGGATCCTGAGTTCAAAGCCCACTTCCAAATTCATATCTAAAATGCCCTAATCACTTATCTCCTTTCAAATGTGTTCATCAAGAGAAATTGACCTAATTCTAGTCTAGGGACAGAAAGGAAGCAAGAATTGAAGTGTAAGATTTAAGACTTCAATTAACATGACAAAGTCTGAAGATCCGGGTCCTGGCTAATCTTACCAGCTGCTGTCTTCAGCAGCAGCAGTAATATCATTAATGGCTAGTATATCACGCATTTTCTCTGTGTAAGAACTGTGTTAGTGTGTTACATGCTTTATTTCACTGATTTTTACATTATAAGGTTGAAATTATTACTCTGTCATCCCCATTCTACAGATGGAGGAGACAGGCCTAGAGAGGCCAAGCAATTGCCCATGACTGCACATCCAGTAAGTATCAGAACTAGGGTTCTAAACAGATCTGATGTCATGTCTGAGTCTGAATCATTTTGCTGTAATACTTTCTTGGTACAATTCTGAGGACGGCCATAAAGTGACAGGATTCACAACAGATCATTCTCTCTGTGAATGGTAAAGTAGGCAATGAATTGCAAAAAGATTACCTTGTTTAAGATTCTTCAGGAAGCCTACTTCATGTAACAGAATCTTTGCACCAGAGGAAAACATTCCCCACTTAAGAATTCACTCCCATCACTAGAGGAAAAGGGACTTCACGATAAAGTACTAACTGTATAGTTTCTGCTCATCCCCTTTCCTTACTTTCCCACAGAACTGTAATAACTAAAAAAACAATTTTCAAATATACTGCCATAAGGGTATTAAGAAAGAACTCACCCATCTCAGTTTGATTGCTAAAATTAGTTAAGATTCAAACACTTTAAGAGCAAAATCTCTTTATTGTTTAAAAAATATCACAGAGTAATCGATTTCTTTCTTAAAATAAAAGTTTTAAATGTTCACTCTTCTGTTCTTTTTGGAAGCAATACTTTAATACATTGTAACATGCACAGCACAAAGTTCATTTCAATAGATCTACCCACTCTACTTGAATTTAAGTAAATTATTATGTTGGGGGAATGAACTGCCTTGGCTGGAAAGTTTGCTCCAATTTTTATCCTTCTTAACTCAAGTAAATTATAGTTCACCCTCTGGGTCACTTTTAGCCAAACACTGCACTTGCTAATGATGCCCAGAGAGAGAGATTATATTTACTTGTCTCAAACTACTTTTGCCATGGTTATATATATTAATGTCTGTTAATCTACAGACATACATCTGAAATTCATAACTACATGGATATATTTTTCTTCTTTTTCTATTTATCAATTGGAAATACATTATAAAAGGGGCAAGCACAAGTCATTATTAAGAAGGCAACCACTGCATTTTTAAGAATTATGATTAGGCCAGGTGCGGTGGCTCACGCCTGTAATCCCAGCACTTTGGGAGGCCGAAGTGGGCGGACTGCGTGAGCCAAGCAGTTTGAGGCCAGCCTGGGCAACATGGCAAAACCCCACCTCTACAAAAAATATAAATAAATAAATCCAAAAAATATCAGCCAGGCACAGTGACTTGTGCCTGTAGTCCCAGTTACTTGGGAGGCTGAGGTGGGAGTAGCCTTGAGCCGGGAGGGAGAGGTTGCAATGAGCTGAGATTGCACCATTACACTCCAGCCTGGGCGACAGAGCAAGACCCTGTCTCATAAAGAAAAAAAAAAAAAAAAGAATTATGATTATTTAATAATACAAGTCAGTAAGCATTTTTCCAGAGCCAGCAATGCAGTCTCCTTTCAATTGTAATGTAGCTCCTGTGTTTGGGCCTTACATAATACTACAGCTAAGGAGAGGCACAGTTTTTTTAATTTATTTATTTGTTGAGATGGAGTTTTGCTCTTGTCGCTCAGGCTGGAGTGCAATGACACAATCTCAGCTCATCGCAACCTCTGCCTCCCGGGTTCAAGCGATTCTCCTGCTTCAGCCTCCTGAGCAGCTGGAATTACAGGCACGCGCCAACACACCGGGCTAGTTTTGTATTTTTAGTAGAGACAGGGTTTCTCCATGTTGGTCAGGCTGGTCTCGAACTCCCGACCTCAAGTGATCTGCCCGCCTCGGCCTCCCAAAGTTTTGGGAATATAGGCATGAGCCACCGCACCCCACCCACAGTTTTATTTTTAAGGTACTGAATTCAAACAGTTTCCTTCTATGTGTTAAGAATTGTTACATTAAAATATAAAGGTAGAAAAAAATTGTAACACGATCTGTTTTCTTGGAAATAGTTTTTACAACTTGGCATGCAAGGATGATTTTGTTACCTTCTAAAACAGCTTCCCAATACGAAAGCTAATAACCCAAAGAAATGTTTCTACTGCTAAAACAATTACAATTAAAAATGAGTAAAACTCTAACTGGAACCACAAGTCCTGATACTCTGAGGCTCTGGGACTCAATTCAAAGGAAGTAGTCTCCAACAATAACAAAAATCAAGATGATCTCCGGCAGTGGAGAAAAGCAGAACTGAAGAGAAGAAGCGAGGTGATGTATCATGAAGAGATGAGGCCATCAGCCACTTTCGACACAAAAATCTCTGAGGCAGCAGAGCTTGGTGGTATATACTACCTTGGTTCTCTCCTCTTGTTCCCTTACTTGGACTCATAAACCTCTTTAAGACATCATCCATCTCCTCCAGAACTAACTGGGGACTTCAGGAGATGAGTGGGGTGTAAGTTCAGAGATCCTGGCTTCAAGCAAATATCCCTATTAACAGAAAATAGGTGAGGGGAAGAAAAACAAAGAAATAAGGGAAGAAAATTACTTATAAACACATAAGTTTTGGGGGAAGCAGGGAAAGGGAAAGAGGAATGACAACTTAGGTCCAGGAGAAATTATTGCTAGTACCAAGACAACTGGGCAAGTGAAGCGCCCACCAATCCACAGATTAATGAGCGCACCCCCCTTTCTACACTTTATATCCTGGAGCTAGGGTAAGGACAAGCCTAGCAGCCAGATGATGGTTCAGTTTCCCTAACAAAACTAAACAAAAATGTAAAAACCTTTTCTGTGATTAACTACTCAAATCTGTAGAGAAAGATAATCCCCGAAACAACATTTTCCAAACCAAAGTTACAAAAGATCATATTAATATTCACCTGCTCATTCACTTATTTTTCTGAGCCCCTAATAAGTAAGCACCAAGCAAATCAGAGCCAGCTCCCACCTTCACATAGCTGACAGTCTAGCATAGAAAATCAGATGTGCTAAAACACAAAAGCAAACCCAAAAACAAAAACACTTCCAGATGGGAGATGTGAAATTTTTTAAGTGTGAAAAACTATCTTGTACCAACTTTGACATAAAACTGCGTTATACAATAAATCCCCAAGAAGGATGAGAAACAAGAAATGGGGATGGGGGGGTATGAAAAATACTAATGCTAATACAGTAACTAACACCACCAAAGGGGCTTTAAATATGTTTTTTTAATTTAATCTACCTAACAACCCCATAAGAGAAGTACAGTTTCCCCCCATTTACTAAGAAGAAAAGTTGAAAGAGACTAAGCAGTCTGCTTAAGAGGCACAACTTTTATTTTATTATTTTATTTTATTTATTTATTTGAGACGGAGTTTCACTCTTGTTGCCCAGGCTGGAGTGCAATGGCGAGATCTCGGCTCACTGCAACCTCTGCCTCCCCAGTTAAGAGGCACAACTTTTAAGTGACAGAGGTGGGATTTGAATCTAGGCACCCTGATTCTTACCTCTATTTTGCCGCATATAATTATAACAATATTATTACTAACACAACAACGCCGCTGTAGATTGTAGATCCATCAACTACGTACTTTCATTCATTTTCTTTGAATACTCACATCTCTAATTAACAAACGAAAACATTAAGACTCTTAAGACGTTAAGAAACGTTTCCAGGTTATACAAGTTCCAAGGAAGTGAAGTCGGGATTCGAACTCAGATGGCTCAGATTCAGAAGGCTCTTTTCACGGCACCCCACACCCGAACTTGACTCTTTACCCTCAACCAAGGCAAGCCCTACCTCTCCGGGGAATAGCCAGCACCACCCACTCCAGCCTCGCGCCTCACAGACACACTTGTTCGGGCGGCGTTCCACCGCCCGCACCCTCCCCGCGCTCCCCAGCACCCTCGCCCAGTCGGGCAGAGCTCTCACCAGGCGGGAGTCGTGGGACCCTCGCAATCTTGCTGGTGATCTCTGCAGTGAGCACCGCGAAGTCCTGCTCGTAACCTTCGAAGTCGGACGACATGACGGCTCCGGAACGAGTGGCCCAGGCTAAAGCCTAGGTCAGGGAAACGGCCTCGAGGGGCAGCGAGGGGTGCCGCGGCTTAGGAACCCCGGGAGGTGCCCCCGAGAGCAGAACGGAGAACCGGGAACAGCTCTCAACCCAGTCGCTTCCTGGTTGTTCGTCGCGATCTCGGTTCTCCGGAAATTGGGTTGCGTGCGTGCTTTATTTTCCGCTCCGTCTTTAAGATAAGTAAGTTCGCTAAGGAAAAGCGCCCCAATTAGTGGCCCCCCCAAAAAAAGCGTATGAAAATATGCAGGTTCTGAGGGATCACTAGGAGAGGTTTTTTTTCCCCTTCGTGTTCTGGGAATCGGCTCCGGATCCCCACGCTACAGGTCACAGGAACTTACTTCCGGAGGGAAGTTTGAGGCGGCGAACCTCCGGAAGTGACAGTAACGGAGACTGCGCAGGGGTCCTGAGCGGGAGAGTCGCGACGAGGGCGCTGGTCGAGAGGCTTTCGGCTTGTAGCAGGTCCCGCACTCCAACCTTTCGCGGCCAGGGTTTGCTCTCTGCTTGTCCTGGACTGAGGTGCCCATGACGGAGTTATCCAAGGAGGAAAAAATCTGTTCCGGGTGAGCCCAGGCCGCCCCGGATATGCGATGGCTGAAGAGCGGACACCAGGGACCACACTGAGGTGGGAGTCAAGGCAGGGAATATAAGCAGGATTTTGGTGGTCTTTGCCCCACCAGAGTAGGAGCCGGCCCTCCTGAATGTTGAGACCGACCTGGCTTACTAGGATATTTCTTCCTTGGCTGAGGATTTATTTCTAAGCCCTGTGCTCGATGACTCGGGCGGGAAACTGAGGCACAAGTTAACAGCGTCTGCTCCGTGGTAGTCTGTATTATCTATATAGCTCAGATCTTCTTCCAGATCTTCGGATCCTGTCCAGGCAGAGATGCCCTTTCACAAATCTCCCCCGAGCTCGCCGTCCTGCCTTCCGTTTCCCTCGCTCCAGGAGGCACTTCCTCTTCTTTCTTCCTTGGAATCTTCTAATTCGGGTTCTTCTCCTGTACTCTTCTGGTCATAATTTCACACACATCACACACACTCTCGCTGTCTCTCTTTCCTTCCTTTCCTGGCGTGCTCTCTTTGCTTTCACTCTCGCTCCTTTACTTTTGGGCCAGATTGACTGTTCTCTTGATGTTTGGGTGGGGGGATAGAGGGGAGACTCCAGGCAAATGGCACAGACCATGTCTGACTCACACTTGGCTTAATTCAAGACTTTAGAATTTCATAAAGGGAGTTCATTGACTTGCCTTCTATTCTGGTTCACTCGTTTGTGACCTTGGTCTAATCACTCAGCCTCTCTCAGCCAATTTCTATTCTGTGAAGAATTCGGAAACCAAGTTAGATCAACTCTAAGGTCCTGGTTGTCAGTTCTAAAATTCTTTGTCTTCTCAAACTATTCACTAAGCGTTGGATGGTGACAGTCCCCTGAGAAACTGAGAAGGAATAAAAACAACTATTTTGGAATCATGTATCCAGTTTGCATACCATTCAAACTTGTACCATATTTTGGATAAGTTAAAAGTAATTCTTTTTGCCATTTGACAAGATATGCATCCCAAAGTGTAGTGCACTTGTGAGATGCTGTGCTGTAGGTGTTTATTGTAGTTAACAAGTATGGTATGTAATAAACCGTTTTTTGCGGGGTTTTTTGTTTGTTTGTTTTGTTTTGTTTTGTTTTTAACTGAACTTTCCTATTTTGTTTTCTTTAGGTTGGGTTTGAGACCAAGATACTGGATTCTCCTAGTTAAGATAAAGAGCTCTGGGTGCCTGACAGTGAAAATGGTGTAATCTGCGTGACAGTTCACAGCTTGAAGGCATGACAGTTAAAGAACACACATGGACTTGTGGCACATGGAAATGTGCACACAGAAAAAGGACATCTATAATTCTTTAAAAGTAGGAAAGTGTTCTTCCTCGCCAATATGGGTACATTCTGTTCAGTTATCAAGTTTGAAAATCTCCAAGAATTAAAGAGACTGTGTCACTGGGGTCCCATCATAGCCCTCGGTGTTATAGCAATATGTTCTACAATGGCCATGATTGACTCAGTGTTGTGGTATTGGCCCTTACATACAACTGGAGGAAGTGTGAATTTCATCATGTTGATAAATTGGACTGTCATGATTCTTTATAATTATTTCAATGCCATGTTTGTCGGTCCGGGCTTTGTCCCTCTGAGGTGGAAACCGGTAAGAAAGATTCTATAAGACAATGAACTTTAATGATAATCACATATTTGGTTTTTGCCCTATTTGCTAACAAATAATACCAAACACAGCCTACTGTTTGTTCTCATAGAGACTAAGTGTATTACTCTAATCACTGATCATTTAGGCTCAGAGACTTTATTTCATATCTGTTTGAACATTTTGATCCAAAATAGCATTTTCCAAAGCAATTTTATTGAATATTTGTTCTCCTTTTAAAAAAAAGATGGAGGTGGGGTGGGTTCATGGTCAAAAGTTTAGGAAACATCACATGTCATACACAGTGAGGCTTTGCTGTAGGACCTTTTTTCATGTAATACTTTTAATATCCCTTAGAACTGAGAAAAACGCTTTAGAAACTGCTGGTTTAAATCATAAAGTTTTAAAATCATTGCACTGAAAATTTAACATTGGGAAGTATAGTCCAAATCCATTTATAGTTTAAAAACTACTGGGAAGTTTATGCTTCTGAATGTCCCTGTTTCCTGCTAAGGGACATCACCTGACGGCTTGTCAGAAAGGCAGAATCTTGGGCTCCACTTCAGACCTACTGAATCAGAACCTTTATTTTATAAAGTGTCCAGGTGATTCTTAGGTATATTAAAGTTTGGGAAACACTGGTGTATATCGTGTGCTGTGTACTATTCGAAATGAGTACAGAGAAGGGCAAGACACAATTTGAATTCTGAAAGAGCTTATAACCTAAGCAAGAAACAAACACACTTGTGCAAATCACTAAACTATTAAGTAGAATGTGATGGGTGCTGTTAAAGTTAGAAGAATTGAGCACTTTCAGTTGGGGACCCGAGGGTAGAGTGGGAATTTCCAAAGGAGATGGGGAAGAGGGCACGCAGGTTGAGAGAATGGTGGGGACACATATTCAGAAGCAATGGACAGCCCTGTGTGACTGGGGAAAGACTATGTAGTGCAGAGACAGCTGAAACAAAGGCAGATCGTGATGGTCTCAAATACATGAGAAACTGTAGACCATAGAGAGTGTTAGGGGTTTTCAGGCAGAGTCTGACACAGTCAGAGTTGGGTTATAGAAATGTTATTTTGACAATACATGGTTTGTGCTAAAGAAAAACTACAGTAAAGGAAACTAGTTAGGAAGTGATTAAAATGATTAAAGTGATAAAAAATGGCCCAAGAAAGGGGTGGTGATGGGTAATGTCAAAGAGGGAGCAGATTTCAGTAAGAGTATCAACTCATACTTAACTCCTCCCTCTAAAATAACCTGCCAAGTTGTCAGCTGCCTTTTTCTGAACTCCTCAATCCGCTAAGATTTGGGGTAAGTAGAACCAACTAGTGACATTGAATTTAGCTGGAGCACAGGGAAGAAACCTTTAAAAGGACTTCTGCGTAATTGGGAAAGTGATGCTGCTCTTACCAGAAAATTGTTATATAAAAATATAAAATATTTTTATATATCCTCAAATAAGAGGACTGGAAGTGCAAGTTAAGATTCCCTCCTTCTCCTGTCTCCCATAAAAGAAAATCATACCTTAGGAATCATACTTGGGTTCAAGTATCTGATGCATTTTTGTTTCTGTTTTGCTGCTAAGGAAATTTCTCAGGATACCATGTATCTCCAGTATTGTAAAGTCTGTCAAGCATACAAGGCACCACGTTCACATCACTGCAGAAAGTGTAACAGGTACCTGTCTTTCTTGCTGTTCAGAGAGGATTGATCAACTAATTACTGATATTTTCATTGTCCTTCTGCTACATTAGTGCTACTTCTATTCACTGCAAGGTTGCCATATTATAAAAAATACTGTCAAAATACTTGTATCCATAATCGCCATTTTATACTTATATTATCCAGATAATGAATAGATTTAATTCTTCTTTGTTACAAGTGAAAAGCTTTTCTAGAAAAATACAGATTTACTTTGCCTCTTGTCCTGCAAGAGCAAGGAAAAATTATACTTTAAGTTTGTTTCCAGATATCAAGATTAATTGTGTTAGTCAGCTGCCATCTGGGCTAACTTTAGAATTGTTCTGAGTCTAAATTATAAGGGAGATCTGCTTTCCCCATTACTTATTGACAAACATTTACACTGTATACAAATCTAATAATCCAGGTGCCTGTTATCACAAATGTTTTAATATCAAAAACTTAATCAGAAGAAAACTATTAAAAATGTGAAATAACTTATGACCTTTTTTAATGAACAGCTGTAATCACTGATTAGTAAGAAATTTAGAGAACTGTTGAAAGCAAATAAAGTTTTGTTTGAGGCCAGAACATTGTCTTCTATCAACAGTAAGGAACAGATGCACGGCAAGACTTTGCTTATTATACCATATCTTATATTCTGGAGTTTGCTTGCTTAGCTCAGAGATCCATTAGCTAAAGGATACTATGAGAACAGGAAGGATACATGTGTCTGTTTGAGTCCATTAACCCCAGTGGAGGTTTATAAGGGATTTGTTGAGTCTACTGTAGGTCACTTAGGTCACTGCACTTACAAGCTGGAAGAAAACCAGGCACCATGCTCATTTCTTTATAATGAGCATTATAAAGAGACCTTCTTTCAGTGGGTCTCCTGGCTTCTTTAAACAAATACTTGTAGCTGACATCTTTTCTTCAGAAGCTGTTAGAAAGTCTGCCCTTTCCTGTGCTGTTTAGAATTTAAAAGGAGTCACTGTTCATAATTGTTTAAAAGCTCATAAAGAGTTTTCTTTCTGTTCCATGAAGTATAATTCTCCCATAGCTCATGGACATGCTGGATTCTTTTGAAGAAGATTTGCTTGATCTTTTGAAGACCAAAGTTATTTAAAGTAGACAGGATTTTCTGCCTCATGTTTTATGTAAATTTTTCTTGTTAGATGTGTGATGAAGATGGACCATCACTGTCCTTGGATCAACAACTGTTGTGGTTACCAAAATCATGCTTCGTTCACACTGTTTCTCCTTTTAGCACCACTGGGTTGTATCCATGCTGCTTTCATTTTTGTGATGACTATGTACACACAGCTTTATAATCGGGTAAGTGAAAATGAAAATGTTTTGTTATAAAATCATCCATGCAAGATTAAATAGTAGTTATCAACATTTAAGAGTTTCATTTGGAAATAATGTTTTCTGTGATTTAGTTGGGAAAATAGAACTTTGTTTTACTGA